AAGAAATGCCTCAGCTTTGAGCATTGCGGCATGGATGGAATGGAATTCGATTGCAGAGCGAGCAAGCGAGCGAGAGAGAGAGAGAGGCGGGACAACGGGGAGGAGAAGTAGGAGACTGACCTGAGCGGGGGCAGGGGAGTGATGAGGCCAGAAGCCGAGCAGGAGCGCAGGACGGTGGAGGAATGGAGGTGGGGTTGGGGGTGTGCGCGCGCGCTATATAAAAGGTGGTGCGTTGTGGCCTTGTGGGGATGGATGGAGTAAAAGATAACGAGAGAGACCATGGGGTGGGGTGGCAGCTGGAGATGACTGATGAGGTGAGGAAGAAGAGGCTGGAGGTGGGGCCCACGTGACGTGCCACCTCTCTCCTCGCTCATGCTCATTGCTCTCCCTCTCTCCTCAAGCCGAAGAGGGGAGGGAGGTGCACTGGGGGGGGGGGGGGGCAGCCAGAGCCAGGTAGGACTGGAGCTAGCTGCCATTTCTGTCCTATCCTATCCCGAGTGACTCTGCTGTAAATCCATTTTGCTCATCATTAGTGGCGCGATTACCGTCCATAAACTGCACCGGGACGGTTTGTGGTTCGTTGGTGCTTTGTTAGCTTTTGCAATGCTTGCACGCGATTACCGTCCATAAACTGCACCGGGACTGGCAAGTGAGGATGTGCACGCCTGTCCATAAACAACCGGGACGGTTTTGGTTTTTGGTTTTTGTTAGAGCTTTTTGCTTTTGATGTCCAGCCTTACAACCAAGTTGTTTTATTTTTCCTAGAGTTTGTTTTGGTCCAGCCTGAAAGTACGAGTAACGAGAGAGGTGAGAGGAGAATTCTTCTGAGGAATTCCAGAATGTGATTGCCTCCCTCCGTTCTTGCAGAAAGCAAAAAAGAGTTGGAATGTGGTGATCCAAGAAAAGGAGCCCAAGAAGTGGAGAGGTTCATTCATGTGATGTACTACTGACAAGAGCACTGCTGTGCCCTTTCGGCCTTTTTCACGGCGTCAATGCGGCCAACACCACCATTCAATGTGTCCGCAAAAAAAAAAAAAAAAACACACCAACCAACTCATTTTCGTTTGCAAAAAGAAAAGAAAACAACTCAATTTCAATGCTGGGTTTAGTTAAGGTCGGGAGGTTTTCCGTGGGACACAATCAGACAATGTGACAAAACATATTAGAGATCTGCAGGTTTTTCCCTGCTCAGACTACTGTGTTCTGTAATATTATTATAAGTATTGTTTTGAAACAGTGTGAGATCGAACAGAAGCTTCAGTGACCGTTCTTGAGAATTTTGTTGCTACAGTACCTACATGTGGGCTGTGGAAGTCTGAACGGAACGGAAGCTTCGGTTTGCTGCAGGCCAGGCCAGGCACATGTTTGGTGGCCACAAGTAAACACCGGCTTTTGTAGTGGTGTGTGGTGTGGTGTCACCGAGCAGCGAGCTCATGCTCATCATACATAGGAGCATGCATACAAGAGCGAAATGCCCTGATATTCACATGCATGTTTCTTGTTTCGGTTCTCCTTTGTTTAATGCTTTAGTCCACGTGGCGAGTGCATGTCGGTGTCTGAAACTCTGAAATCTGAATACGACGCTGCCTCTTTTTCTGAACTTCGGCTTCCAATAATGGCACTAAGCGCGTGTTTAGTTGGGTGAAAGTTAAAAATTTGGCTACTGCAGTACTTTTGTTTTTATTTGGTAAATAGTGTTCCATCATGGACTAATTAGACTCAAAACGTTCGTCTCGCAATTTTCAACCAAACTGTGCAATTAGTTTTTTTCGTCTACATGTAATGCTCCATGCACGTATCGCAAGGTTCGATGTGATAGCTACTGTAGCACTTTTTAAGAAATTGAGTTGGCAACTAAACAGCACTAATAAACCGACTGAAGGCGTGTGTGGCCGATGTGATTACTTGACGTCGCGGCCAAACGCGATGCGATGCGATGCGACGACGGGGACGGGGACGGGGACGCCTGCGGTGTCGCCGTGTCGGTGGGACGACGAGACGGCGGTTCATGTTCATGGGCTCGTATCGTATCCGGGCGGGGCGGGAGGCCACTGTCGTTCGCTTAATCGGACACCATCTCATCTCAGAATAATTAGTGGCTGTCCTGTGGTGGGTACTACTTATTATATTATAACAAACAAGGCAGCCCCCTAATGATGAGAGGGGAGCTGTCAGCCTCAAGTGGCTGAGCTCAGTCCCAACTCCCAACTCCCAACACCCACGCAGAGCAGAATCATATGGGTTACATCCATGATCAATCATTCCAACGCAGAACCTTGAGTGGAGCAGCGAACAAACTCGAGGAGCTCGTGCGTTTTGCCTGCCTTCTTTGTGCTTTGCGCATCGTCCGGTTGAGCTGTTAGCTCTTGCAGTCTTGCCGCATGGCGCGTGCACAGAGACAGGATCACAGGAATCCTTCATCGCTGCTTAGTGTTCGCTTCAGTCTGAAGAAAACAAAGTGGAGTACCACTGTAAAGTGGAGCGACAACTGCGCGCGTTTACTATTCCGGTTGGCATTCATCACACACGGCAAGCAGCGCAGCACTCACCCTCCTTTTTTATTTTTTGGGCAAGCACTGAAAGCTTGAACAGAATATACTACTGTACGAGGGATCTCCAGTTGCTGGTCTTCCGTCTTCGGCCGTGTTTGGTTCGGGAGCTAAAGTGTAGTTGGTGTCGCATCGAATATTATATGGGGTGTTTGGATACTAATAAAAAATCAAATTACAGATTCATTCAGAAAACCGCGAGGCGAATTTATTAAGCATAATTAACCCGATACTAGCATATGTTACTGTAGCAATTAACGTCTAATCATAAACTAATTAGGCTTAAAAAACCGTCTTGCCAGCAACTTTGTACTGTAGCAAATTTGACCATCTGTTTTTTCTTCTAAAAAAATCTTAGATACTTCAATGTATATAATACTAATGAATTATGTTCAATAAAGAATCATATATGTGAAAACTTGATGTATCTAAAAATCTTTTGCAGAAAAAAACGTATGATCAAATTTACTATAGTAAAAAGCTGCTGACAAGTAAATGAAAACGGATGTAGTATATTTTTAGTTTTGTAAATAGTCTATATTTAATACTTCATGCATGTGTCCAAACATTCGATGAAATAAATAGTCTATATTTTTTGTTTTATAAATAATCTATATTTAATACTTCATACATGTGTCAAACATTTGATGAAATAGGGACTAAATTTTAGTCATGCAAACCAAACGGGCCTTCGACTACTATAGACCACTCCAAAGAGCAGAGCAGAGCAGAGCTTTATCAACAACAAAAAAAAGCAGAGCAGAGCAGAGACCTAGGTTTTCGGGCCACGGAATGGGCTCGCGGTCGTGGCTCTTGTGCAGTTGACCAGTTGTGCTGTTGACCAACCTTAGGTTTTAGAATAAAAAAAAAGAGCCCTGGAATCAGTGCAGTTAGTATTCTACATCTGCTAATATGGTTAAATAGTAGTGGCCTACGTGCATCATGTCGACGAACAATGCACAGGCCACTGCTATGTAACCACACTGGGGTTGGAGGGCAGTCAATGTCAAAGTCAAATCCAGGGCTCCAATACCTATGTCCAAACGGGAACTGAATCCTATTAGCCTGTCTCCAACCAGGTAGTCATTACGGCACCCAAACCCATTTTGTATCGTCCAAGAGAAAAAAAAACGACGTCCAACGGCGTAGGCAAATGAATGATGCATTTTGCATCGACAGCGAGTCGAGACCAAAATATAGGTCCTCTGTCCGTCTCTCTCTCTCTCGTCGACCGCAAGTCCGCAACCGTTTCGCGGGAGGGGAAAGAAGAGGAACGCGCACGCGCAGGCGATTGGGCCATCGGCGGCATCACCGAGCTAGGCTTCGAAGGTACGACTCCAACCCCACCGTAGGTAGGAGGACGACGTGAGGCCGCTGTCGCTCGCCTGCGCTGCTGCTCGCCGCTGTCGCTGCGGCTCGCCTGCGCTGCCGCTCGAATGCGCCTCCGTTTCCTGCCTCTGTGGCTCCGTCCTCGCTGCTCGCCGCTTGGCGACACCGCCTTCTTATTTCTTGGCTGGGCTGCCAGGCTGCGCCTTGCCATTGGCTCTGAAGCTGCCGCCGATCGCGGCCTCCGTGGCTCGCTCTCGCCGCCGCCGCCGCCCATGCGCTGCGCTTGGGCCGTGCATGACTCCCTAGGCAGCCCGCCTTGTAGGTGATGGATTGATTTAGTGATTCACTGGTTTGGGGATTTGGGGATGGATGGGGAACCAGCTGACCCTGCTACTTGTGTCCTTGCCGGCTCCGCTGATTTGAGGATTTGGAGATGGACTGGGAACCTGCTTGTGATTTAGTAGCAGATTATCCCCTTGTGAAACAGAGAACTATGTTTACATAAATTTAGTACCAAATCCCTTTCTCCTATGATGCAAAGAATCATGTACCATGCATGTATGCCTATGTGTTAAGTTCTATGCATATTTTGTGCCATGTTTAATTGTATCTTTGTTGCAATAGGAGGATGGATAACATTTTTAGTGGCTCAAGTGGGCACCTTAGCGAATCTGAAGAAATGTTTGGGGCAGATCAATGGGCTTTTGGTTATTCTGCTGCTTTGCAATCTCTGGATGTTCATCTAGACCCCCAGGTTTATTGCAGCCATGAATCTGATGGTTTGTTCTATTTATATATCAATGAATCGATGATTAACAATTCTTCTTATGACTAGTTACAATGTTTTTTAAGAAATCTTTGTCCCTTTGATGCCCAAATAACATGTTGTCTTGCAGGTGTGAATCAGACTTCGGGTGGTTATTACAAAAAGATGCATGATTATTTCAATGAGCATAAGTCTGAAGGGTCCAACTGTAGCCAGATTGCGATTCAACATAGGTGGGCATTGATCCCTCCTCTGTTGGAAAAACCTATTTTTGGCTGTGACCTCATCCACTATCCGAAGGAACAATTTCCGTCTCATGCGAAACCAACAGCCAAAAATTACAATTTTTTATCAAATTAAAACAAAGTGTCATGGACATAGAAACTGGACCAAAGATTATACCTCCTTCTGAAATGCTCCTCATTGTAAAGTGGACGTTCAATGAAGTAGTCCTGATTCAGCTGCCAATCTGCTGTAAGTCGATCACGCTTGTATGTCTTGTGGCTTGGGACCGAACCTCCCCAAGGGCGTTTTTGTGGCATCTGGGTGAGGATGGCCACCGCGGCTATGATCTCATCGTCGTTGGAGTATGCTGCGGCTGTCCCGAACATTGACATTTTTACGTAACTCCAAGCCATGGCCAATACTAGCGCAATCGAGGTCTAAAGCCAAGCCGATTTAAGAACAAATTAGCCACAATTCATGGGATTGAGAGGGATTGGAAAGGATTCAGAGGGATTTCATCCTCTATAAAAATCAAAATTTCTCTAATCCCCTTTAATCCTCTCCAATCCACTTGGATTTGGGCCAAAACGCACAAGCCCTAAAGGATCGAACAAGCAAATAGCCAGAAAATCAGATTACCTGCACTCTCCGATGGACTCTTGTGCGCCAACGTCGGCCTTGTGCAGACGGTTCATCGAGTGAGCCTGCGCCGGCTTCGCTGCTGCCGCCTCGAGTCCCTTCACGTAGCTGGGGCGGCAAATAATCCCGCCTTCGAGGAACCCGTAGTTTCGCACCTAGCCCGCACGCTTCGTTTCCCGCGGAAACTTTCACGGCGCGCCCGCGAATGAAACCAGCCGTGCTCGGTCGTCTGTCTTTGGGTCACCTGTTGCAACATGCAACGTTTGGGTGGCTGACCTATTTTTCCTGCAAGACCCAAAACAACAAATGCATGGCCTATTTGGGTAACGACGGTTGGAGTCTGTCTTACAAGCTTGTATTATATAGCCCCTTGCAGGTACTAGACACTGTATTCTGATATTCTAAAGGCTCTCTTAATTATTTGATATAATTTCTGACAAGGACCGTTTAATGATATTGCTATATTATGATATTTTTACAGATTATTTTGACAAGAAGAGAATCTGAAAATGCTTCACTGTTAAAGCATTGAAAATGCATAGTTATTATGATTTCAAGATGTTAGCTATAGGTTTAGTCATTGTGATACGGTATCATTAACTATGTGCTTTTCTGTATTCCGAAAAAACTATACAGTTACACTTGGGTTCATTGCGCTGATGTCGTGAAGTGAATGAATATTGCTTGGTATTTTGTTTAGCGTATATGATTGTGGACAGGTTGTCCTTAATAATTTATTGGATGAACCTGTTCCTTGACAAAGGCTTCACTATGAAATTTTATATGTGCAGTATATATGATCGCTAGGACTTTCTTGCTACTTTCGTAACATATAGTTGTACTTGGAAACACTTTTGTAGTATAACTGGTTTGCTGGAGCCCCTTAAAGCAATACACATATTTTTATCGTGCTGAAGCTTGTGTACGAACATCATACTAAATTGGTGGTCAGATGATCATACTAAAATCAATGAAGAAAGTTTTCTTTTGTTCTTCATGGACTGAATAACGAAGCTGAAAATATAGGCAAGGTTTTGACTGACCAACTGATCATTCACTAATTAAATTGGTGGTCTCAATGTCAGGGAGTCATGGTTTAATTTGAACACAACTAAAATTCATAAAAAATGTTAATTGCAATCGCAGGTATTTGACAATGTCTATGCCGAGAGATACACGAGCTGCGCTAAGCGATATCACCAACAACCACGTTACAGGTATGCTTTAGATTAACGACATGTATACAACAGTGCAAAGAAACTCTTTAGGCGATGTCTTGCTCATTGACTATATGAACGATTGGCCTCTATAGACGATGCCAAACGTAAAAGGGAGGAAAGGAACGCGGCGCAACGAAAACATCGAGCTGAGATGTCCGGTGAACAAAGGGAAGAGATTAATAGAAAACAACGAGAGTATCAAACACGGAAAAAGGCCGCAACCCAAAATACTAGCACTTCATGTGTTGTGTCTCAAACAGTGCCAACAACATTGCCCATAGGTGCGTCATCTCTTCTGTTTCCATTTACAACTTCTGCTATCATTCACTATATTAATCTTGGTTCATATGTGAAGGTGCGGCGCCAACCCTCACTGAGCAGTCACCATTTGGAACTGCTTTCTCTACCATTGTAAGCACGAAGCGTAGAGTATGATGAAAATGTCGATCCAGATGAGCCAACGGAGTGGCTACACAGAAATGATAATTACGAATGTGAAGTGCAGACACAGTTCCTTGGGTACCAGCTACATGCACAAAAGGAGCCTCATCCAGTGCATCTCAAGGTGCGAGCCATTATTTTTGTTCCCAACTTCACTATAAGTTTGTTTAATACATATAGACAAAATATATACTTTGACCGTCAGGTGGTTCGTCCAATAGAGATAGGCTGCTAAGGAAAAGGGAAAGATACAATAATATAGATGGACAGAAGAAGGATGAGTTGCTACAACGGAATCGGGAGTACAAGATGCATAGAACAATGAGCATTGAAGGTCAGCACGTCAACCACCCCTTTTCTGACCTTTAACACATTTGGATAACTACTACTGTAGTTATTTTTTTTTTCAAAAAGACTACTGCTGGTTATATAAAATGTTATTTTATTTGCGGATAATAATTTGCCAACTATTACTGTAGCAGGACAAACCAATGAAGATGAATTCGACCATGAATTATTCGAACCTACACATACTGTGCAAGACGGTAAGAAAGCTGAGATCAACGCCGCCGCTGGATTGCACGACGAACACTTATATGCTGCTGACGATGGAATCATTCAGCTACATCCGCAAGGTACTACGACTTCATAATATATGTCATGTCAGAAATCAGCTTCATTATGTGCGGCCATCATCATATAATGTTTCCAGCCATAAGTAATATGATTGATATAATGATCCCAACACAGGTCCTGATTATGAGTTATATCGCGTGCTTGCGGAGGGTGCGGCTGGGCATAGTGTGACAAGATGATCCATATGAGTTCATCTACCAGAACCTGCCACAAAGACATAGGTTAAGAAATGTTCCTGACTGCGAGTATTGTGGTGCAATGAGGTTTCAGTATGAGCCACCTGGGTTTTGTTGCAGAAAAGGAAAGATAAAAATACATATACCGGAGGTTCCCGCAGAGCTGAAAAGGTTATTCACAAGTCAAGTGCATGATGATGCAAAATATTTCAGGCAACATATACGATATCTCAACTCGCATTTCGCCTTCGCAAGTCTTAGAGTTACCCTAGACCACAGATATAACACTCCAGCAGGGACCGATATTTATACATTTCGAGTTCATGGCAGGTTGTACCATCGTCTAGACCACCTAGTGCCAGGTGGCCACGGCCCTCGGCATCTGCAACTATACTTTTATGATACAGAAGATGAGGCATTGTCACACAGAGTCAAACGGTCCCTGACCTTGATATCAACCTCATCCGGAATGTCCTTATTAGAATTTTGCAGGATAACATATATGTTCAAACTTTTAAGAGAAATGGTGCTTTTCCAAACTTGGATAACTACCGGATTGAACTCAATACAAATGTCACGCCTGACCAGCGAAGGTACAATGCCCCAACGACGTCACAAGTTGCTGCTATCTGGATGGAAGGGAATGATCCACAAAGATGTTTTGATAGGAGTGTGGTTGTATATGGCAGGAGCGATCATCGCACGCAATATATCCGAGCATACCATGGTTGTTATGATCCATTAGCATATCCTCTGTACAACCCAAGAGGGGAAACAGGCTGGAACAAGTATATGTCGTACAGTGGTGACCCAATTGGTCAACCATTTGCATCCCCGGCTTCTACTAATGTTAATTACAGGGATGCGGAAACTCCTGATGTGATGGAAGAGGACACTCCTGCTGGTTATCAAGGTATTATCTCCGGTATTATTTTCGCTACTATAATACTACTATATATACTATGTTGTAATTATATTATAATCTGACAATTTATATATGTTGCAGCTGACAATTATAACGAAAATCGGCAGGAAGGAGGTGACGATGACATAGAGGAAGGTGACTGGCTAAGCAGAGTTACAGATGCAACACAATCCGCAAGATATGTGTCTGCACGAGAATACTATTGGTTCAAGCTGCAAGTTAGAAGGGGACTTTTTAACATTTTATTATTTGGATGGCGACTTTTCTAGCAATGGGTTGTAGATATTGTATATAAAGATTGAATCTATGAGGCTAAATTGGTACTATAATACTGAGAACCAAAAACTCATACGCGCAGAGCTATACCAGGTAACCAATAAAATTATTTTATTTATGAACTTTGCAACGTTATCTCTATCTTTTGCTAATGTTCTACATACTTGATTGTATCTTAGGGTCTGGTTTATGTGATCTCTGCTGGAGAGACCCAAGGTTCTAAGGTTGGCAAGAGAATTGTGCTGCCAAGATCATTCCCAGGATGCGATCGAGACATGCAGCAAAGGTTCCTTAATGCTATGGCTATTGTGCAACGTTTTGGAAGGCCAAATTACTTCATCACCATGACATGCAATCCATACTGAGATGAGATAACAAGCAATCTTGAACCTGGGCAGAAACCAAAAGATAGGCCAGAACTGGTTGCAAGACTGTACATGGCAAAGTTGCGAGATCTAAAAGATCTTTTGATCAAGAAAAAGTATTTTGGTGATGTTGCAGCATACATTTATGTTAATGAGTTCCAAAAGAGGGGGCTACCACATGAGCATTTCCTGCTGATCATAAAGTCAGGGAGTAAGTTGGCAACCCCAGATGCATATGATCGAGTAATTTTAGCAGAGATACCAGATAATGACAAATACCAAGAGTTGCATGATCTGGTTAATAAAAATTGTGCATGCATGGTGGATGAAGAGTGCCGCTTTCAATATCCTCGACAATTCTGTGAGGTAACACAACAAGGAAATGACTCATATCCTACATACATGGGAAGAGATGATGGACGCCGAGTAAAGATTAGGAGAGCAGAGTTAGATAACAGGTGGGTCGTGTCGTACAACCCTGGTCTGCTCATGAGATACGACTGCCACATAAATGTTGAAGCATGCTCAAGCATTAAAGTTGTGAAGTATCTATTTAAGTACGTATATAAAGGCCACGACCAAGCATCATTCTCGGTTAATGCAGACCAGCATGACAGGGAAGATGGTGTAATCAATGAGATACGACGGTACAAGAATGCTACATACATATCTCCACCGGAAGCGGTGCATAGGATATTTTGTTTCCCCATATTTGGAGTCTATCCTGCTGTATTG